GACCTCCCCCAGCCTGCCAGCCCCCAGAGGGACAGCTCTATCAACCAACAAGAGAAAGACCAGGTCCAACTCATTTTATTGAGACAGAGGAGAAAATAAGAGGGCACTAAACAAGGGGGGGGGGGGAAGTTGCGAAACCTGCACAGAGGTAAAGGGGTGCAAACCTGAAACGTGCTGCCTCCCTGCGTGGGCAAGGTATCTGCTAGCTGTCAGCAGCCAGGAGTGGGCGGCTCCATCCACCTTGGGTGTGCAGGATTTTTTTTTTCGTCGTGTGGCCCATGACACGCGTATTTCCACGACTGAGCAGGAGGAAACCAAGCCTCCCAGACCGGGTGTGATGCTCACCTCTTGCTAATTGACTACAGCTGCTCTCCAGGGCACTGTAGCACCTCCATTCCCATCTCCTCCTCTGCTTCCCTCCCACCAAAACATTTTGTCTTCTTTCGGAGAACTGTGAGAGCACTGATAACTCACAGGCTGCTTGCAGGCTGGTGCCTGTGGTTTGGGGTGTTTATAAGCACTATAAGAAGCAGGATCCAACCAACCAACTCCCTGACCGTGCCATTTCCAGCCCAAGGTACAGCCCAGCACATCTCAGACTTACATTGAACTTGAGCTGTGGGGTGTCAGGGTGGGCCTGAAATCCAGGAGACCTCCAAGGTCTCATACCTCCAGCATCCTACTAAATCGTGGACCTCCTTGCCAACCTGCCCTTCACCCCAAACCAAGAGGAGGTCCTGGATAGAGGACATCCCAGTGAGCACAGCTCTACTTGCTCTTCCTGACCGATGATGGGAAGAGCATCCCTAGGCAGAGGAGACTTCTCGGGGGCCTTCAGGGTGGGGGTGCTGTTGCAGGGGCTCTACTTCTTTGGTTTGTATCTATGTGTCTGCAGTTATTTGGTTTTTCTCCAGTTTGTTCCTGTTTAGTCGCTGTATCTTAGGGAGGACTCTTAGGGTTTGTTGGGGGTGGACTAAGGGGAAGGGCAGTAGCGCAGTGCCTGTAACTGGACAGCCAGGGATGAGGCATGGATTCTCCTCATCCCAAAAGCTCTTCCAGCTGCTGGTGAGTAAAACAGCAGGGGAGGGGGGAAGAAAAAAAAAAAAAAAAAAAAGAGGGCAAACTGTCATATTTGAGACACCTTTCCAGACTTGGATATTCTTGTCACCCAGCTCTTGTTGTGTCTCTTCCCACCTGGGCTCCTGGAAGGGTTGGACCAGAACATGAATTCAGGAGGGGTGTCCCTGGGCTTTGCTCTGCCTCCCCCCGGTGCCTTACAGCTGGGTGGCTGTGACCTCACAAAGCTCGCCCAGAGGGACCATCAGCACGTCCTGCACAGAAGAGCTGGGCTCAGCTGGCAGGTAGGACTTGTCCCACCGCTCCTCTTCTTCTCGCTTTCCCTCGTCCAGGTTAAAGACGAGCTTCAGCTTCTGTGGCTGCACGGAGTTCAGGATGATGACACTCAACCCCAGCAGCAGGCACAGCAGCCCTGCAACACACAGCATGGGGACACACGTTACCACCTCCTGCCTGCTGTGTTCCAGCCCCATCCAGACCTGGATCTGGGTTTGGAGGCCAATGGCAGGTGGCATCACCCAGGAGGTCAAGAGGAAGTGTTATTTTCCTCTCCACGGCTGGACTCTGCCATTAGTTTGTGCTCCGCAGTAGAAAACAGAAGTCAATGAACTAGAGCAGATGGCCAAGAGAGTTGGGGCTGGAGCCCACCACATATGGGGAAAGGCTGGAGGAGCTGGGCTTGTTTAGCCTGAAGAAGACGAGTCTACAGGGGGACCTGATTGCCATCTTCTGCTATTGAAAAAGAGCCAGTCTCTTCTCGGAAGTGCACAGTTGTAACATGGGAAATTCCAGTTTGATAAAAGGAAATAACTGTGTCCGTGAGTGGGACAGCTGTGGGGCAGGTCTTGAAAGGCAGAGGGGATCTCTAGCCATGGGGACATCCACCACCAGACTGAACAAGGCTGATGGGGCTTTGAGGTTAGCCCTGCTCTGGGCAAGGGCTGGGAGAGACACCCCTGAGGGTCTTTCCCTGACTCTGCGATTCACGACTTTCATGGCACTCCTCTGGGCACACCTCCACACAGATAACTTTGGCATTCAGATCTCCT